GTTTTCGAATCTACCGGATCACGTCTGGTGAGAGAATAAGTCAACCCCCCCCCATCCATTGTGGCTCTCGGGAACAGGGGCTCCAAACGATTTCCCGCAGCGTCGTTCTCCCTTCTCGTTTGTGGTTACTTTTGCACATCCTGGTACAGTTTGCAGGCTAGCTCGGATTGTTCCAGTTGAACAGGGAACCAGTGATATTGTTTTATTGGACCACTCGAGACACTTTTCTGGCGTTTCCTAATCAAACAACAACCTTTCTCTTTTTCGGGAACTGTAGTTTCTCATCTTCTGACCGCTTAATCAGTGAATCAGAGCGTGCTTTATCATCTCTAGTCTCGAGGTGAATGTTCACTCTCCTATCCGCGTCATGGAGATGCGCCATGTCTCTTAGTTCACCATAGCTACGAGGCAGTCAATATCAGTGCAAGCGGTCTGCGCAGTTTCAAGCACAAACTTAAATTCATTGTAAAAATGCATTCATAATTGGCGATGACACTGGCCAAACCAATCGACGTTTAGTGGAGGTGGTGGCGTTTGTTTTGAGAAACGGGTGTACGTGAGGGAAACTGAAGGATAGTGAAATGAAGTAAGGTGATGCTTGAAAGGGCAGATTAGACACTTTTGTTCCAACTCTGGTCGTCCCTTTCAGTGAAAGGATGTGTGTATTGCGCAAAGGTACGCACCGTGTTGCTCTACGGCTGCGAAACCTGGCCTCTCCGAGTAGATCATGTCCAGCGACTATGCGTCTTCAACAACCGTTGTCTGCGCAACATCGCCCGCGTGTTATGGGAGCATCGCATAAATAACTACGAGGTCAGACGACGGTTGTTAGGATCATATAGTCTTCCGTTGAGAAAAATAATTTCACAGCATCGTCTTACGTGGCTAGGGTACGTACTACGAATGCCTGAGCACCGTCTGCCACACCGTGCACCACTCGCAGACATCGATCCAGATTGGAAGAAACAGCGAGGTGGACAGGCTATGACGTGATGCACAGGGTTAAAGAGAGATTGTGCTCGGATCTGGCCTGCGTTGGGGCTTCCCGGCTCCCTGGCTGGGGCCGCAAAGATTCAGATTGTCTTTGGCCGGAGACACTGCAGGATATGGCATCGAACCGAAGTCAGTGGCATGAATGCATCCTATCCTGTGTGTAATCCCCAAAACGAAAAAAATTGTTATTTCCCCTAGTTG